GCGATGAAGGAGGCGGCGACAACGAGCAGTGACGATGGTGGTAATGTATTAATCTGGAAAAAAATAGAGAGAAATTGAGAGATATAACGAACAAGAGAGAAAGAGATTTATGTGGAGGCGGCGGCGCGACAACAGCGGTGGAGGAAGGTCGGAAATGTTGGATAGAGTTGAGAGATTTAGGTGGAGAGGTGAAGAATAGAAGAAATGAACGTGATATAAGTGGATGCAAATAATTAGGATTTAGGGTTATTGGTAGTTAAGGGTCTCACTAATTTAGAATGAACTTTGGAAGTAGGCAAAAGTCTTGAAAGTCAATTGGGTTTAGTTCAAAATATTTTCCATTTGAGGGGTATTGCATATTTTCCCTTTATTTATTTTGGGTCAATGTCAAAAAAGACCATGACAAGGGCACTTAATTAAAAAAGGAACATCCAATTTTTTTGTCTTTCAAATATTTTGAACTTATTCAAACTTATTTGCAAATAAGAAAAACCATTTTATATATACCAAAATTACCCCCAATTTATTAAAACTCGATTCAACTCCAATTTCATGATTTACACCCCAATTTAGCCCTTCACCAATTTACCAATTTTGACCCTAATTTTAATTTTGACCCCAATTTTGACTCGCCACCACCGGAGACCGCCGATCTCCAGCGTTGACTTTTTTTTTATTTAAAAAAAATATTTTACTTTATATTATTGTCTTGGCTGCTAAATTACTGTCTCCATCAGTTATTTAACTGCCGGAAACAATAATTTAACTGTTAATTGACCTGTTTTTTTCCTTCAAAAAATATTTTACGTAATATTATTGTCCTGACTGCTAAATTACTGTCTCCAGCAGTTACTTAACTGTCGGAGACAGTAATTTAACTGTTAATTAACTCTTTTTTTTTCTTAAAAAAAAAATTTAATTAATATTATTGTCTTTGCTGTTAAATTAATGACGGAATCTGGCCGGAAAAGAAAATTTCAGAAAAAAAAAATTATTTTATGACAAAAAAATATTTTTTCAAAAAATTATTAAAATGGAGGTTAATGTGGTATATTTGTTTAAATCCGGGATCAATGTGTAATATTAAGGAAGTTAGAGTATAAATCATGGAATTGATAAAAATAATATTATAGAGAATATTTTAGACTAAAGACATGGGGATGGGTTTATTTGAAAGACTATTTTTTTTGTGAATCAATGTGCATTTAATTGTCATGTCCCTTTTTGCCATTAACCTATTTATTTTCTGTAAATATTCTTGAAAAGAATAGGGGTTCTTAGCCCCAAAACCCCATACAAATGTCGTCCCCAACCTAAAATTCCTTGTTTGCACCAATGTTACTGGGGAAAATTAGCAAGAACCCCTCATCTAGGAAATGTAGTTAAGGAAAATCCCCCTCCCAAAGATAATTAGAGAAAACCCCTTTTTGTTGTTAGCTTTGATAATTAAAAAAGGTTATCTCCCAATTATACCCCTATTCCTTACCCTAAATTTTGACATATCATATTCCGTCTTTGTTATTTCTTTTGTTTTCCTTTTTTCTCTGCTCTCTGCTCTCTTCTCTCGTTCTTTCTTCTATCTCTCTTTTTTTTTCTTCTCGATCTGCTTCTTCTCTTCTTCATCAGAATTCGGCCCTCGCCGTTAAATACTGTTTCGACAAACGTTGGCCGACATATTGGGTGAAGAACTGCTGCAGATATCATAATTGGACACAATTTTTTTTCTCGTTCTGGATTGAACGAGAAGAAGCCTTCCCATTTGAAATATTTTGTGGCAGGTTTCCCAAGGGCGAACAACCATCCATCTCTCCAACCAATTCCAGCCCCATGTGTTTTTATCTAGTTCGAAACCAGCTAGTGTTACATGTTGCCTTGACCATGCCTCCCATTGCATTAGAGCAATTATAGATCAACTATGATTTTTGTCTATTTTATTGGTAAATAATAATCTTTTGCGACGGCATGGGTTGCAGATGTGTGGTGTGGCGGCGTTGTGGTGAAAATGGGGAGGCAGACCTAGGGTTTTTTGGCGGATCAGGCGGAGGACGGCGCGTGTAGAGAAATTCGCGCAGGCTGGAACCTTAATCGACTATGTACATATTCAATAGTCGATTAAGCTAATCAACTATGCTCTGGTAGTCGATTAAGGCTGATCGACTCCATTTTTTTTTTGATGTTTTGTTTATTGATTTCAATTGTATAAATCAATTATAATGTTTGTATATTATTTTTATTTTTTGTAAAATACGGCGGTCAACGCCGGAATCTGGCCGGAAAAAAAACATTTCAGAAAAAAAATTATTTTCTGAAAAAAAAAAAGTTTTGGGGGTTAATGTGATATATTTGTTTAAATCCGGGGTCAATGTGTAATATTAAGGAAGTTAGAGCATAATGGGTGGAATTGTTAAGAATTATATTATTGAGGGTATTTTAGACTAAAGACATGGGGATTGGCTTAATTGAGAGACTGTTTTTTTTGTGGACTAAAATGCATTTAAGTCCCATTTGATGGGCCTTTTTGCCATTTGCCCTATGAATTAAAAAAAATGGATTTATCAAAAAGTCAAAATTGAATGAGGGGTGTTTGTCATATAACCCCATTAAAAAAAACTTATTTGTTATTAAATTATAATGTTCCACCACTATTTCAGGTTCTATCAAACTATCACAATTACATATTTTCTAACATTTATTCTTTTAAGCAATCTAAAATTTTTAGTGATGATATGTTTTGAATAAACGACATTTTAATTTATGTTATTTTAAATAAACTGTACAAAAATATACACTTATTTCATTTATTTTCTGTAAATATTCTTGAAAAAATAGGGGGTCTTAGCCCCAAAACCCCCATACAAATATCGTCCCAAACCTAAAATTCCTTGTTTGCACCAATGTTATTACCAGTAATTGGTAACTTATTTTCACCCATACATAAAATCATACAAAAGAGCATGTTGACATTTCTGGAACTTTCGCTCCTTCCGCCCAATGCTTCAATAAATTAATTAGAAGACTCGCTTTGAAGTGATAAACTTTGTATTATAAACTCAGTCGTACAATTAAATTACTCTCAAGGAATGAGTAGAATTGACTATTCTCAAATTGTCTTTTATTTAATTAGTTATTTGGTTGATGTTTATCACTATCACTATTGCCTCACATTCCATACTTATCATCAGTTGCTCGCATTGTTATTGAAAAAAAAAAAATTGACTTTTTCATATCGAAAGGTACATAAAATAATTTTATTTTTCTCTTTTATTTATTCTATTTTATTCTCTGTACACTTGTACAGGACGAGGATGTACTCAATTTTTTTTTTCTTTTTAGAAATGGATTTATCGTACTTATGAAGGGCTATAAGATAATCTTAATCCACATGCTTATGGTAATCCATAATCTTAATCTACTGGACTTCTTTCAGTGGCACATTAGTAATTTATTTAAAATATATGATTTTGACAGAAATCTGACTTCGTTTGGAAGTGATGTTCTGGCTCATTTTTTGGGACAAAAAATATACACATGTTCTCACTAATTATATTAATTAATACACATATATATATATATATATATATATATATATATATATATATATATATATATATATATATATATATATATATTGAAATGATTTGTGCAGGTCAAAATTAAACATTCAGGCACATTTTTTACCATTCTTCAAAAAACAAAAAGTAAAAAAACTTAAAAACTCTCTCAACCTTTCGATTTTCTTTCGCAAAGCCCGTGCAAATCGTCAACAGATCGGAGGTAATTTTTACGTTTTTACGATCCTCTTGTTATGTAGATTACGAATCCGGAAAAAAAACGAAAAAAATCGGACTTTGGCCTGCTCGTGTGAATTTACACGAGCGCATCCACTGTGCTCGTGTAAATCCACACGAGCAGGCCTTTTTATTATTTTTGTTTTTTTTTAATTGCTCGTGTAAAAACACACGAGCGGTTGCAAAGGGCTCGTGTGATTTCACACGGACGCTTTTCAAACGCTCGTGTGTTTTTACACGAGCAGATTATTTTTTTTTTTTTTTTTTTATTTTTTTTATTTTTTTTTATAATTTTTTTTTGATTAAATTATAATGCTCGTGCAAAA